TGACAGGCTGTTAAAATTGGCTGTTGTATACTCTTTCGCCGGTCTGGAAAAGGTGTTTAATTAACTCACATTCAAGCAACAATGCAGATTTCCCAGTGGGAGTGAGACTATTCGACTCTGCCACTAAAAAAATAGGGGTGTTTTCAGCAAAAAACGAATAACCCTGGAATACACACAATATACTGAATTTCGGAACAAATCGTGCATTACTTACAGCAGCAGAATACCACAGAAATATCAGACGAAACATGAAAACACTATATATTGTATTTCAGCTTGAACCCTCTATATTGCAATTCAAGGAATTAACCCCATATGTGCATCCATTTCCCACCTTGGTATCACCCACCCCTGAAAACAAACTCTTAATACCACGCTGAAGCGTTTGGTAATAACACCCATTCTACTTATGTATTCAATTTCATTATTGATGTACTGGATGAAGTCTTCATAGGACATTTGTTGCAGGCAGCTTTCAGTTATATACATCGGCGTGATACGGATATTTCCACAGTAGGTATAATGCACTTTGATGAATAATTCTGTCATGATCAGTCGGTCAGCTGGTTCTGTAAAATAACGTTCTTTGCAGTGCTACCACTTTATGCGCCCCTCTCATTGAAATAACATATGACGCAAATTGAAGTAGGAAACTAAATTGAGAGCCTCGATTGTTTATTCGAGGAGAAATTCAAAACTAATGTACCGCCTCTTTTATATGCTGTCTGCATTATTTGAAACAACTTCTGTAATTGTGAAAATAAAATATGTAACCTATTGTAGTAAGTTATCAACATCTAGCACTACTTCAGCGTCAAATCAGTGCCTGGAATTGCTGTAAAGTGACACTGTTTGGATGGATGGTCAATTGGTCCCAAATCACATTCGTCCCATAGGTTGATTTGCGAAAAATCGCGAAACTATCCGTTTTTACGCAATCTTGGAAGTCCGATTTACTGAACGAAGTACAGAACGACGAAGCTGAAATATCCCAGAACCAACACCTACCAAAAATGATATCCCAAAAGTGAATAAGTCTAACCGGACCGGAAGTGGGAATTTGTTACTACTCTAAATATCCAAATATATTTTAGTATAAGGTAGTAATAATAATACGTTTACGATCAAAAGTTTCAGAAATCAGAACTTTACATAAAATGTAAATGCCAATATCATTTGTTGCATTCTGGGAACTCATTCGTCTGTGATCAGAAAGCAGGTAATATTTTGTTACCTCGTCAACGTTCATGAATTCTTCGTCGCTGTCACCAGTACTACTCGTGTTTCCCATCGTATGTGTATTACTTTTACAGCCTGGCCGGAGAGACCTCGCATGAGAAATTGAAATTACTAATCAAGTCGTAGAAGTACTGACATTGCTATTCACTACCAGGAAGTAGCCATTCTAAGTTTGCTTGTTTGACATTTCTTTACTCATCTACAAATCAACATGGCGGGTGCCGGTGGTAAGTCAATCTGCCGAGTCAAACATATTTCCATAAGTTAATCAGTTAATAGTATTTATGCCAATTTCATATAGTGTAGACTAAATGTACCATAAACTTAAAAAACGTTAAACTATGTAAATGCCAAAACGTTTCAACTGCGGCTTTTAGAATCGATATTCGCCCTGCTTAGATTGACTCCAATTCCAAACTTCAGATTTCATTGGTTTTCTTGTGTGGAATTTCGGGCTGAGTAGAAGTCACCATACACGTTGCACTTTTATGAACTGAACACATCTAACACACCGATTTCGGTGTTCGTTCCGGGAATTGTCGTCATTTGCGTTGTGAAGAATAACAATAATTACATTGATTGATCGAGTCCAATTTTTAAACAGAGCGAAAATATAATAATTTTTTTTAATGTCAGTCGTTGATGATGCTCGGTTTTATATACATGTAGTAGCCAGTAATAATATAGATCTGGTGTTAAACCATCTTGTATCATTATGCACAAGTTTTGCACATTGCGATCCCCTTTACTTGATGGTAGTTGAAAACATGTGTGTTGATGAAAACAGTTTGTTTCCTTGGTAATAAAGTCAAACTTTAGTTGTGGCGCCGCCCTGGTGTGTAACATATGTTTCAGGATTATAATTTTATTATTAATCAGTAATATGTATGCTTGAAGTGACCATTTTACTCATGGGGTAATGCATGGATGAAATTGAAAAACATAATTTCCAATCTGTCACCTCATCTGAAATAGTTAAGCTTACCAGCCACGTAGCCCGCATTTTATTAAGGGTCTAGTCATATGACAGAAAATTTGGAGTTGGATTGACTGTTAGTTGCGAAGTCCCTGTGTAAAAGCAGCATGTCTAAAATAGAGGAATCTTCGACTTATGTGCCAATGCAGCCAGACCCAGGTCAGATGTGTATATTTGTATTCTCCCTCCGTCTTCTATGATGGAAAATTTCACATGTAATGGGCGTAGAAACAACTTTGTGGATGCAAGATCTAATTTACCTGTCTTGTGTTTTATTATTGACAAGTATTTAGTTAGAGTAATCAAAAATGGTGTTCGTATATTTATCGTAACAGGTATGTGTTATTTGTGCTGGTAAATCATGATAAGTATACATGAATAATTAAGGATATTATAAGTGAACATTGCAATTAATACCCCATTACAATGATGAATTCAATAATTACAGATATTTACAGTGTTATTATGTTGTAAACTGTTTTGTAATGTCAGCTTCATTATATATAGTATAGATTAAATATGTTTTTGTTTGTTTTAAAAAAAAATTAACAATTCGCTCAAAAAGAAAATATGTTGAAACCTGTTTATATATACATTTTATACTTCAGTTGCTATTTGACTGATTTATCAATTAATTTTACACTGTAGAATTTTATCTCATTATGTTACTGTACATTATTGCTTACTCCATTCAATGAGTTGACATGTAAATTTGCTTGAGGTAGAAGCCTATTCATAAATAAAAATACTCAGAATTTATACAATTTTCACTAAATTCTACTACAAGGCAATATAAAAAAAGTTTTGGGTAACCAGCCTTATTTAAAAAAAAAATGATTTTGTGTTTCACGGAAAAGTTTCTATTTTGGCAGTAGTAAAACACTTTTACTGTAGATTCCTATGGCAAAGATATTATGTCTTGAATTATTTCAGGGTTTTAAAAAGTGTCAAAAAAGCAGTTTTTCTTTAACATTGTGTCATATGGAATTGTTTTAAAAATAGCAATTTTTTAAAAAAATATTAGGACAAATTTCTCAAAATGCATCACTGTGACAGACACAAAATGCTATTTCATGTTACCATGTGAAAAGAGCTCCATGATATTACATAATAAACCTATGAACATTGTCATACTATTTATGTCCAACATTTTCAAAATAATGTAGTAGGCTTCTACCTTTAACAAAATTCAGTGTATGCTGCAAGAATAGCTTTTGCTTCCCAAATAGTGTTTATTTTCTCTGTTCTATGTTGCCATGGTATTTAAAACAATGGATCCAATTATATGAGAGAATGAAACATTGTTTAAGGGGCAAAAACAAAATCATGTTGCTCTCTCACTCTAAACAAGATCTCAGTGACTATTTGCATTAATTAAATATTTATTCAATAATTCTAGGATATTTAAAATAAGGGGAGAGACGATAATCAAACAGGTGGTGCACCACAGTCATCATCATAGTGGTGGCTAACAGTAGCAAAGTTACCACCTTTTAGGCAAGTTTATGGATAGATTCCATAACACCTGCTATGTGGGGCGATGTCAAGATAATGAATAGACACAAAAAGACTGGGAAAGTAAAATAACTTTATTGCAACAAAGTTTCAATGGGAAAAATCGAAATTAAATGTATTTAGCTGCTCCAGAAGTCTAGTATGTCAGGTTTAATAAGTATAACTCACGAACGTTGTGACCTTCAGATTTGAAAGTTGCGCACTCTGGGCATTCAGCCATATTTCACTGATAATACAAGTTTGAAGTAGACTTAGTAAATATGAAAATTCTAATATCAAGATCAAAAGTTAAAGGCCTTGTCAGTTTACTCTTTATAACAAAAGTGGCTTTCTCAGAATTTGAGAACAGAAAGAAAAAACAGTCTAGTCACAACCTGATAACTTGTGTTATGATAGTAAATGTTGAACTATGTTCTCTCCAGAAATTTAAACCACTGTGGCTGTACATAATTATTTCAAACAGTAATTGTGATGATTGACCCACTCAATGCGATGCACAAAAATATTGACTTACAAAACTGTTTTAAAAGTGTTACAACTACACACAAGTTTTAAGTTTTCAGCAACTTATCAATTTGATTTAACAAGTCGGCAATGATGCAGTGGAAATGGCATTGTCGCAGTCAAGATAGTAAAACAAAACACTGTGGCGGTACCACTGTTTGTATCCTGGAGAGAACATTGTAGTATGTGTCTCAACAAAAATAAATGCCACCTTTAAAAAAATAAATCTGCAAAGTTATTTCCATATTTTTGGAAAAATTAATTGAGTATTTCTAGAAAAATACATACCGGGTAAATCTATTGTACCCGAATTTTGCCAAAAACAATTGGCAACATTTTTGAATTCTTTGATCCCTGAGTTGACAACTAGAATGCATTATATATTCAGTACTTCTACTTTCTTTCTTTCTTAAACCGACTTCTCTTGATTATTTCAGATACCGTAAGTGTGCGCTTCAAGCTCTATGCATTAACTGTTATGACAATAAATGCAGCGGGGTATATACTCTTGTTACGATACACAAGGACTGTTGATGGACCCATGTACTTCTCCACAACCACTGTAGTCATGACAGAAGTATTCAAACTTTTAAGTAGTATTTGCATGCTGTTCTCAATGCACAGGAGTTTGTCAGCTACGGTAACTGACATATATCGCAATGTCTTTTGCAATCCCATGGACAGTTTTAAGATGTGTATACCCTCTATCATCTACATGGTTCAGAATAACTTGGCGTTTGTGGCACTGTCAAACTTGGATGCTGGTACATATCAGGTGAGATTCACATAATGTGATTGAATATTCAATTAAAAAAAGAGAACTGATTTACATATTATATCTTATGAATATATTACCAAGTGTATGAGGATGCAGTGTCCGGTGTCCTGTTCATGCATGAATAGCTGTACTGCACATGCAATGTACTGTGTGTAGTGTAGTGTAGTTGTGTGTAGTGTAGTGTATTGTGGTGTGGTGTGTAGTGTAGTGCAGTGCAGGGTAGTGGTGTAGTGTAGTGCAGGGCAGGGCAGGGCAGGGCAGGGTAGGGTAGGGTGTAGGATAGTGCAGTGTAGTGTAGTGGATATGCGAACTGGCAGCGAAATTGGTTGCAATAGTTGGTACCATAGTAAATCTGCATAGTATAGTTTGTATTACAAAGCATAGCATTGTTTTTTATACCCCATTTGTTGTAGTAGTAGTAGTGCATGTGATTAGATAAATTACCAATGCATGTCTTGTCAAACTGAATCATATTTGGATGATCCTATGTGTACATTACTTGCAAGTTTTGCTTTAAGTCTGTTTTTAAATAGATAATGAATTTTAAATAAATAAATTGGTTGTGTGATCTCCCAAAACAAATCACAATTTTCTATGTGCATTTAGATAGCCTCTTTGACATTGTGGAGATGTTCTTTATTTATGACAGTAGAGGTCAAAGGTCATGTACAGTACTGTGTATAAGATGGGCACACCCTGACCTATGACCTTGTCCATTTCAAAGCATGCAATTCATGCCACTGTGCTATAAGCTGTGTTATACTAAAGTCAAGCCAGTGTGTCCACCATTGGTTTTTAACAACAGCTGGTCCTTATATAGAGGTTTATCAATCAATCTGTGATTTATAATATCACCAACAATTTCTCGTGCTTTTTATCAAAGGATGTAGTTGAGAATAGAAATCATTAAATATCAGTGTGTTCTCTTTGTACCTTGAATAGAAAATTTAAGAAATTTTCTTTTTCACTCAAGATATCATGTAATGCGTTAAAACGCTGACTGAACGTCTGCCATAAAATTCGAATGATTTAATTTTGAACCTGAATTTTGTTTCTTATAATGAAAGTATGACATTAATATTTTCTTACTTCTTAAAAATTATTAATCATCATCAAATATGCATAGCACAATATTAGGCATGGCAATTCCTCAAAAATACATTTGTTTTTGTTGAATCCCATGCTATCTTTTGACATCACTATGACACTTTGACAAAAATTGCCAAACTTTGTGTGACGTCACTCTAAAGTATGCTTGTTTGTGTTGATGTTAAGTGTTGAGACTAGTATAACACACTGTAATATATTTTTGTGCAATTCTCTTCCATCAATTGGTGGATTCAATTTTGACTTGGGAATCCTAAAATGTCAGTTCTGTTAGAGGGCACACTGTTCCACTGTGGGTTATTTACGTTATATACCTTTCTATTGTTCCTCTGCAGGTTACATACCAGTTAAAGATAATATCTACAGCATTGTTTTCTGTTATTTTACTGCGGAAACAAATCAGCGTTATACAGTGGATATCGTTGGTGACGTTATTTGCAGGAGTGGCATGTGTCCAACTACAACCTGATTCATTTACAAAGAAAGTTGAGCATGTGAATTATACAGTTGGGTTAATTTCAATCCTCTCAGCATGTCTCTGTTCAGGCTTTGCAGGTAAGTGTTGTTCGTATATTTATTTCAATCAATTATACCTGTCAGGAGTTTTTCTAGAAAAAAAATGCAAGAGGGAGCACTGCAATTCAGCGGAGCCACCAAGTGGGGAAAATAGGGTTCTCCCTACCAGGGTGTGAAGTTTTTGATAATTCTAAGTTAAAATTGAGCATTCTATGGCTTCCTTGGGGCCAAAATTACTATCAAACAGGTCACAGTTGAAGACTGTGGCCACATGTGATCCATGGTCAATCAGAATTTTATGGTTGCCAGAGGATCTGCTCCCCAGAGTAAGGGGGCGCATGGTCATGGCATGAGGGTGCTGCACCCCTCTTCCCTGCCTGTGTTCTCAATACTTTTCACTGCTAGAAATTTTCACAATTGTATGGCATTCTTGCAGGACTCGAGAGTAATTTTTCAGGATCTTCACTCACTGACTTGCAAAATTCATGAAATCTTGTCTCCCATGAAATAAAAGCTGTTTACATTATCTTCAAGTTTGCCAAAATGTATTACGTGGGTCATGTTTTTGTCATTAACTAAAAATTACCAAGCGTTTCCACAGATTTTTTTCTGATTAAATTTCAGTATATCAAAAGCATCATCAAATACATAATCAAACAAATTCTTGTTTTTTCTTTCTAATTGTTATTCTTTCTATCTGCCCAGGATTGAAACAAACTGAACAGACAAAGAGAAAAAAGTTGCCTCTAACTTAACTAACCCATATTCTAAGTATTTCTGGGCCTTTTGAGTCTCACTGCTCTAAATTAGAATGTTACAGAATCTTATGTCTCTTCAAACTACCGGTATATTCCTTGAGTTGAAATCAGAGTTGGCATTTGTGATAAAAATGATTTATTCCAATCATACAGGTGTATACTTTGAGAAGGTACTGAAAGGATCAGATACATCGCTATGGATACGGAACATTCAGATGTATTTATTTGGCATTGTAAGTGGTCTGATCGGTGTCTACACAAAAGATTTCTTTGGAGTAATTGAAAAAGGATTCTTTTATGGATATACTCCCTACGTGTGGGCCATTGTTGGTAAGTAAAAAAAAAAAAATTCCACAGTCATCCTTTTCATATCAGTATAGTTTAATCCATGTATTAGTAAGTATTACTGGTACGTTATGTTTTCAACTATTTATGAGGTCATCAAGGTCGTTTGGTCGAACAAAGTGAAAGTTTTGATCTTCAATGCACACATTCATGTGGTATTCAGTATTTTCAAATAAATTCTCATGTACTGTGATTGGTTAATCCTAATGAATGCTGTTGCATATCTTCCTCAAAAAGATTTGTCTTTTTCCAGAATTTTAACACTTGCCCAGTATTTGGCAAAACAAATAATGTCATTTCGACCATCACCTGATATTTGGTTCAATATTTTTAAAAAATAAAGTAATTTTCTGAGATTTGAATTACTGTATTTGCTCTGTTGTACATGCATCTTGTGTAAATGAAAAATTGCATTTGCTAATTCATTAAAATATTACCAATACCATACTTATTTTTCTTCTATAATAGAGCAAAAAATGTTCCCAGCAGAATACATATGCTTCAAATTTACTCACAGTTTCTGTAAAAGTCAACAATTTGTACCCTAAGGGACGACGTCAAAAGATCGATGTTGGATAAAAAACTTATTTCCTTTAGTTTGGGGGTGGGGGGGGGGGGTTTGACCTCAAAAAGTTTCCATCCTACAAAAACGATTTTATTTGTTAATGAAGTCAAAAAAATCTTTGAGTATTTGTAGTTCGTTTTTTTTTTTCTATCCAATCATGGACAGAAATAACCGAAAAAGGGGAAAAAACAGAAAAACTGGTTTGGTTCGAGTGTAAATTTGTGCGTCAAATGAGGTGCATTTGTAAAATCTGTTTACACCACCCGACAACCAACTGCTATGCAATACTACTGTCCGATTATCAATTTGTATTTAATGGTGAATGTAGTCTGACGCCATGACCAATATTTATCAATTAAGTTTCAGTGGGGGGTAGGGGGGGTTTGGAAAAAAACTAAAGGAATTAAGTTTTTTATCCGATATCGATCTTTTGACGTCGTCCCTAATTTTGGATTAGGCAAACAGAACTGAATGATGTTTGCTGGTTTTGATTGAATAATTTCAGAATTTAGATTTATGAGTAAGTTTAAATAAATCTGTTTGATATTTGATAGCAACAATATGGTATGACTTGTCATCAAATAAAAACCATGTTTTAGCAGCAAACAGTGTTCATTCAATAAAATAATGGCACCCAGGGCATGTTACTTGTATGTACATGCACCGGTTACTCAAACAATACACACACTTGCTCAAAAATACCGGTACTTTATTGATTTCCTCATTAAAATTCATGTAGGTGATTAGATCCAGAAAACTACTGTAGAATACTTTATTTTCGCTTGGAAATTATTTTCACTGAAGGGATGATTCCGTGAAAATATAATCCAGGGAATATACTTTTTTCCTATATTTCACATTAATCTCAGCAAAAATCAATGAAAATAAATTCCAAGCAAACCACCCAAAAAGCCTTTTCAGCGAAAATAAAGTATTCCACAGTACTTTAACCTGTTGAGTGCCAGATATTTTTCCCGCTCAAAATGCAGTACAAATATTTTCACATTTTGAAAAGTTGTTGCTAAATTCATCATAATTTTTGGATCATACAGACAGTTTTGAAATATTGCTCTTAGTTTTTGATCAAAAAATTTGTCAATTTTTATCAACACACGGATGAGCAGACTGTACACACTCATTTTGTAGATGGTGCCACAAGTTGATATTGGTACTCAAATAAATACATATTGTGATAGTTCTCATGTTTAACCATTTTTAGTCCCGCTGTCGACTTAGTCGAGCGGAGCTTATCATATGAGTGATTGTCCATCGGCGTCTGTGATCATCCGTTGTTTTAGTCAACTTTTTACTTTTTCTTCTTGAAAACTACAAGCCTGAATGCTTTGATACTTCGTGTATATGAACCTTTGACAGACCTCTCTCAGATTTTTTCATTTCATGATGACATCTTCAATTCTCAATTTTGGTGAATATTTTTGGTAAAAAGTAATTTTTTCGACTTCTAAAGTTCTTGTTAAAAACTGATTGCTTTGATGTTATACATGTAGGTACCTCAGATAGACCTCTTTCAGATTTGTTAATTTTCTAATAATATCTTCAGTTCTTTAATTGAAATGTGCATTGCTAACAGCGGAGCTATCTCAGCCGAGAGGTTGTTTATTATAATTATACAACGGGTGTGCTTAAACAAACTGTCTCAAAATCTGATCGTGACATCTGATAGTCCATATTATATATTTGTATTGTTTACCCTGGAATTCATCTAAATTCATCTTTTCATTTTTTTTTTTCAGTTGCTGGTAGTGTGGGCGGATTGTACACATCCGTGGTGGTCAAGTACACCGATAACATCATCAAGGGATTCTCAACTACCATATCAATTATCCTTTCAACGTTAATGTCGGTTTATCTCTTCGGCAAAGAGATCACCGTGTTATTTTCATTAGGCGCTGGTCTTGTAATCCTGGCTATCTTTCTCTATGGGATGCCTGCACGAAAACCACCACCATCAGCGTCAGACAGCAAAGCATCTGGTAAACTTGCACAAACAGTATGAACATGACATTTTGTACTTTGATAGAAATGTAAGACATTTGTAGTTATACTGTGAACATGTAAAACTGGTGTAACGTTGGTTAGTTCTTTGTGGTAGCTTATACATGCATTCATACAGGATCAGGTTTGTTTTCTATAGTGGTCTCCCGTTAATCAGTATCATGTCTTCACAAAATTGACCATATTTCAGTTTCATCCAAAATTATCTATTATAAAAATTTTGAAAGTATTAAGAATTTTTTTCATAGAAATTTATGGTGTGGAAAATTCCTGGAAGTGAAAAAGATAAAATGCCAACCAACTTGGAAAGATATCCACCAAGTGTGTGTTTGTCTAATTTGAAATAGCACACAAACATATATATTTTGTGATACACGTTTTGTTAAACTGTTAGTCTGGTTAATTGTTTGAGTGTGGACAGGCTTATTGGACAATTTGACTAATTGTGTAAGTTAGGCAGGTTTTGAGTAAGTTAGGCAGGTTTATCTGTAAAGTAAGGTGACATGCTTGGCTTGTTCTTGACGGTCATCATGGTATGGTGTGGTATCTGTATTCTGATGACTTGACTATGAGCTGAGTGGTTATCCATAAACCTGAAATTTTTCTCGAGGAAAAATGCAGATAACTAGATAGTTTAGATTTAATTTGTCAAGCACCCTAAGCTGTGCATTATGTAAAGGGTTACAATAATATATATTTAATATAATTTTTATCAAATTTGATAAATATTCAATTATGATAATTAATAATTGTATTTGTTTTTCTCACTCTTTGAATATTTGGACCATATTCATCTTCATTGACAGTACACAATCTTATCCGTTTTCACAAAAGTGTTGAAATTATGATCAATATTATTGTTTTGGTGGCATTGCAATTGATAAAATCACTGAGACACTCACTCAATATGACATTACTGGGTAAATATAAAACAAATATCTTTACATAAGAAATTTTGACTTGCTTTCAAATACTATCTATTGCTTTGTTCATTTTTTGACCTAAATTGGGACTGAATTCTTTCAGATCATTACATTCTGTAAATGGCTTACAGTTGGGAAATCATCTCTGATATATTTGTATACTTTTTTATTAAAAATGGAACTCGAACACTAAAGTGATGAGTTGTGCATTCCTCAGAGTTCTGCCATGTACATATAGTAGGAAAGCTGTCAGAGTAATTCTGATGGAGAAATTGTAAATACTTTCGCTTGAAATTTATTTTCACTGTTTTCCCTGAAGGGATGATTTAGTGAAAATAAAATCCAGCGAATATACCTTTTTTCTTCAATTTTGCATTCAACTCATCGAAAATCAGTACTCCATACAAAACACCCAAATATTTTTCTGTGAATGTGAAAATCATGAAGTTTTATCGCTGTAAAAATTTCTCTGGCATTCTACAATGTGTGGAGGTGACTTTTCACAAGATTGCTATAAAACCATCAAATCATATTGTAAAAAAATTCTAGTAATGAAAATTAAGAGATTTACAGTATTTAATTTCACTATATTGATAATTCAAACATATTCACTGCAATAGGTGATTTTCCGTACAATTGCGAGATCTCGCGAGATGCATGAAAGACGTGCGTCGAACGTCTGCCGCAAAAATCGAACGATTTGATTTTGAACTCGAATTTCCTTATTTCGTAGCTCACACCGACCGGCCGATCTTCGACAGAGGAACATTGCTTCCGAATACCCTTACTTAATCGAAATTGCCTATCATCAAATGTGGACAGCACATTATTAAGCATGGAAATGCCCCCAAAATACTTTTGCGTTTGTCGAATCCCACGCGATGTTTGACGCGACTACGACGCTATGACCTTTGTTTGTCCTGTTTTTACGTTCGATTTCATGCATAACGCATGATTCTCGCAGTGTACAGAAAATGGTCTATTTAAATTCATGGATTTTTCAGTGGAAACAATGAGTTCCCTATTATAAATTTTACATCTTCATGCAAATTTAATTTAGTGGATTTCAGAGAAAAATGGAGAAATTACAGTATTTCATACTACAATATGACACACTGCCACTATGTCGGTGAAGTCAGAATGTTTAATTAGAATTTTTGCATTAGTATTATTAGTTTTTCCAATAATAATGCAAAATATGGTAATTATTTTTTGGTAGCTAGCTGAGAAGTTGTTGAACACATTCTTGATTTCACTTAAACCATTGAGTACATGCTTTTTTTAATTCTTTGGGACCATTTTTAAAGTAGATATTCATGGTAGCAATCTTCGTGACTAATGTTTGGCCACATTCATTTCAACCAAGGGTTAGTTAGTTAGCTTTAGGATTCTGTAGTATCAAAGGTCTGTTTTGTTTCTTACTATGCTGTAGATGTGGTATGCACAAGGCTCACTTGTGCAAATCACTAGGGGGCGGGCGGGTATATATTGCTTTTAATATTTATTTTTCAAATAATATATTTATAGTGTTCCTCTGCTTGTCTTAAACATTTGGCTGTATGAAAAATCAAATTTGTAATGAGAGCTAGATCAGTGTATTGCACATACATTGTTTACAGAATCATAGGAGACAAAAATAAAAAGTATTTTTTCGATCGGAAGCATAATAAAATTTGATAAGGGACAATGATAATCTTGGCACAATATCAAAGATCATCTAATTATCTTATCAGCGAAAACTGCTAAATTGCAGTGCTATGAATAATTAATGTATGTTATTGTTACAATAAGCCAAATTAGTGGTCAAAATCCCGAAAAGATTAATACTAAAGTCTTCCAAATATTAAATCACCTGTTAGAAGAAACTTTTAAACCATAAAATGATATATACAAAATTACTGTAGGTGGATTAAACATACCAAAAATATACAGATCACAGTCGAGTCAAAGTAGGGTGTAAACTGTGGATGATAGTTTCAATAAAAATGAAAAAAGTGAAGAATAATATTACATAAACTGTGTTAACCATAATGTCCTTTATAGAGTATACCAAGTAACATGAATTGCATACAAGTTCCATAACAATAATATGTACCAGGGATAAGTAAAATTTTACTGGGTGAGAAATGACATTTTTATACTGACCAAAATATAGTGCGACGAGTACTGTCTGATGATCAATGTTTTGTTTCCTCCATTAACTGCCTCTCTTTTTGTGAACACTATAATACTAATAGTTGAAAATATGTTTATGCATTTGTCAGATTTGTAATCTTGTAGAGATTTGTTAAAATGATTGTAAAAACTAATTTTTTAGTCAACATACACCACTTAAATAGAAGTTTGTATGAGCATTTTCTTTTAACAAATTGTCTTTTTGTTTACACTTTTTTTTTACACTTTTTTTTCTATATTTGTGTGTATAGTGTACTGTACTTGTTCTATCAGTAGCGCATTACATTCTTTGGTTTATGTGCACTTCTCATTGAGCAAATGAACTACAGCATTTCATTATTTATTTTTCCAAGAGATGTATTTACTAATTTAGAAAATAGTTCTGTACCACTTGACCATTTCACCACCATTGTAACTTTTGTCAGCATCCACATATAAAATATAGTCCGGTTTAACATGAAATAACGTCAGTATTTGTGACCATCATATTCTGTCTCCTTGTCACTCAAATTTTGGTGACAAAATGTCTGTACCGGTATATGTGGAAGATTTTCAAGTTATACTTGGAATCCTGTTTTTGTTTTGTTTTTTGTTGTATTATTTTTTTTGTTCTTCCGAAATAGAAAAACAATGCCAACAACCATGAAGCATATACTGCATGTTAAATTCTTAAAACTTTCTGAAGTGGTACTGTATTTGCTCTATTAGTAGTGCATACAGTTATGAAAATTACAGAGATGTTTCTATGAGAAAAATAATGAATAATTATTCAATGAATCAGAGAACAACAAATGAATTTTTTGGTTTGTATGCACCTCTATTGGAGATGCACTTCAAATAGAGTAAATATGGTAGATTCATTAGAGGCCATCTATGTTTCACAGCTTTTACGATAGATGGTCAAATTAACATAATTTGAGTCTAACGTCTTTATTGTGTAGAAGAGCGCCAGAATGGTGTTAAAGCAATCTATTTATAATTGTATCTTTAGTTGAGCTTTCAGTTAAGTACATTAAAGTTCAAATTTTTCAAAACCATTTTTATCTTGGGAACAAAAAATCTTTCAAATTGTTGGTAAATATGTGCTCTGGTGTGGGGCAGTCCTATATTGCATTGTATTTCCCATGAAATATGTTAGACATTTGAAAAACAGTTTATGGGCAATGGTTTTGCATAGGACATGGTAAATGCATATTCCCATGTAGAGTAGTTTCAAGCTATCGTACCATCATTTGGTTTCCATGCGAGAATGGGGGGGGTGATTTCTAGCTCACAGTTTATTCACTGGTTTCCTGGTTCCTGTGTTCTGATGAACGATTGAATGTTTGTGGCAAAATACCCCCCCCCCCCCCAACACAAAGGAAATTGGAATATTTTTACACCAGAGTGGCAAGTTTCTAAGGTACTGGGGGGGGGGGGGTAATAGCGGTCCTATTATCATCATAACTTGAAAAATATCTGTTGAATTAGTCCTGCATTTTGTAAATTAACTCGTCAAATATTATGAAAGAACCCCCTCAGTTAGTGGGAAAATCCAAAACAAATCTTTCTTCACAAACTTAGGTAGTCATTTTTTTAAAAAAACCTTGTATTTTGAGAATTAAATAACCTACTACTAATTAGCAAACATGTACTCTATAATTTTTGTTATGACCTAATGTAGCTTTTATTTATTTACATAATTTCTAATCAGTTTGATTATTTTTATATATTTTATTTTGTATAATTATTTTATTATCTTTCAGTAATTTTGTTGGCACTTTGTTTATTAATAACAAATTCTTGGTTAAGACTAATATTTTTGCATACTGGTTTGGCAGGGTTGAAAAGATGTGACAGGGTTTACGTTATGTGTTGATACCAAGATATGCATACCCACTCTCACATGAATAGGAGAGTTAAGACTTAAAAGCTTGAAACAATAGACAAAAACTCATTTTCATTTCAATCTATATTTTTTTTTTAGAGATCACTGCTAAAACTGTATATAACATACTCTTATTTTAATATTGTAATATTAACAG